CAGTGCCCGCTCTCAGTGCCCGCTCTCAGTGCCTGCCTCCTGCAGTGCCCGCTCTCAGTGCCCGCTCTCAGCACCTGCCTCCCGCAGTGCCCGCCTGTGCCTGCCTCCCACAGTGCCCACTCTCAGTGCCCACCAGTGCCCACCTCCCACAGTGCCTGCTCTGAGCGTCCACCTCCTGTGGTGCCTGCTCTCAGCACCCACCTGTTCTTGCCTCCCGCAGTTCTCGCTCTCAGTGCCCGCCTCCCACAGTGCCTGCTCTCAGTGCCTGCCTGTGCCTGCCTGCACCTGCCTCCCGCAGTGCCCACTCTCAGTGCCCACCTGTGCCCGCCTCCTGCAGTGTCCGCTCTCAGTGCCCGCTTCCTGCAGTGCCTGCTCTCAGTGCCCACCTGCGCCCGCCTCCCACAGTGCCCGATCTCAGTGCCCTGGCAGGCGAGGGGGGAGCTGGGCATCTTCTAAGTGGCTGACAATGAGCATGTCCCACGAGATGCACCCGCCTCGGCTTTGAGTGCAACTAGCTCCCAGCTACCCAGATCAGCCATTGCGCGATCCGGCCAGCTCGGCTTGTGACTGAACGGCAGGGACGGGGTTGCAGGGGGCTGCGGGTCGGGACTGAGGGGCATTGGCAGAGCCTGGGGGCGCAGGACTGGACCAGCAGGGGGTGGCGGGGTGGGATTGAGGGGCATCGGCAGAGCCTGGGGGTCCCAGTTTAGACTCCCAAACATTGACCAAATTGCCCTCTGAATCCGGAGGGGGAAGCGGAAGCGAGTGAGGGGGCGGCACCCCCTGGCAGGGAGCCCTTTGAACCCGCCCCCAGTGGGGAGGGGTGCCCAGCCGAGGTGGCCCAGAGCCAGCTGGGAAGCAATCGTTGCTCCATCAAACCCTGGGGCTGGGGGGCCCGTGCTAGGGTGCAGGGGCCCAGCTGAAGGCTTCGAAAGCTGTCGAGCTGCCTCCTTCCCCTCCACCCCACTCTGCGGCTTTCAGAGGCTTCGAGACCTGCCCGGTGGGGGCTCTGCCTCTCCAGCCGGCCCTGAGCATCGAGGTCACGTCCCCGCAGCCGCCGCGCCAGGGCACTGCCACACTGGGGCGAGGGCAGGATTCTGGCTGTGCCACTGGCCTCCTGGCCCAGAGGCTGCCTGTGAGGGGGCTGTGGGCTGGAGGGCTGTAGAGCACAGTCTGCCTGTAGCCCCCTTTCCCTGGGCGGGGGTGAAATTAACCCACAGCCCCCAGGGGTCCTCCAGAAAAACCCAACGGCGTGATGTGCTGGGGTGAGGAGCAGAGCCTCCCCTGGGCGAAGGGCCAGCTGGGGGCGGGGAGGAAGGGGCAGCCAGGAGTCAGTGCTGGGAGCGAGGAGAACCCACAGGCAAGTCCGGAGAGCGGCAGGGGCATGTGTGTGGGAGAGAGGATACGGGACCTACTCCTAGTGCCACTTGGCGAGCGCGCCCTCGGCGTGGGAGCGGCAGGCCGGGGTTCTAGTCCTGGCTGGGGGGCCCGGGCTGTCTCAGCAGCAGGTGGATGAGTCCTGACCTGCTCCTGCGCGGCTGGAACTGTCCAGGGTGCTGCAGGGGGGCAGGGAGGGGGCCAGAGCAGAAGCCAAGGAGGAGGTTTCATAGCAGAAGGCGCCACAGAGAGAAGACCCCCCCCCCCCCCCGTCGACCAGGCAGCACTAACAGGGCCTGGGGCAAGGGAACAGCACATCCACACGCGGGGCACGGAAAGAGTTGGAGGATCGGGCAGGACCTGGCAGCACAGGTCAAGTGTGGGGGGCTTTGTCATCCGCACATGCCCTGGGGGACAGACAGTTCATGGGTCCGAGGGGCAGGAAACCCCTCTGCTCTCGCCATGGATTTGGGCCTTAGCTTTTGAAAATCATTTGTTATACTTCAAAGGACGCTCTAGAGAGAGAAATGGCCGGTCCCTCCCTGGGTCCGAGCCCCTTCCAGCACTACTGACCGAGCTAACTTCCTTTCTGCCCCAGCCTGGCTGCACTCGCTCAGTTTCACTTCCTGGTTCTCAGTCCTGGCAGGGTGTGGTGGCTCGGGGCTTTCCCACGCAGCAGGGGCTGGCCCCAGGCCAGCACCACCCCTTCCCCGGCCCGCTTCGCAGTCAAACGAAAGAGGAAAAGATACTAATTGGTATTTAAAAATAATAATCAAACCATGTTCTTGGGGGTTTGGCCTGGGCCAGACTGCTCTCAGCGAACGCCTCAGGGACAGGAAAACGACTCGGAGGGGAGGGGAGAATGGAAAAGCAGAGCTGCTCCTACCTGCAGATGGGCTGCACCCGGGATGGGATGTTCTCCCGGGGCAAAGTGTCGGCGTCTCTCCGCTGCGGAGGGGCCAGCCACAGGCCTGCGCCCCAGCCAAGTCCCGCAGGCTGGGTGTGAGCAGTGCACAGGCGTGTGTGTGGTGGGGGGGATTTCACCCCGAGGGAGCCCAGAGAAACCCCGTCTATCTAATCTAGCTTCTACAGTGCCGCTCGGTGCAGTGTCCGAGCTCGGGGTGCCTCAGGCTGGCGACAGCACGCAGGGGTGCGGGCATGGGGCAAGCATGGTCTCTGATGGTGAGGGACGTGCCGGGCCGGTCTGGCAGGAGCCGGGTTGCATCGGCCCTATGGGACTCTCCCCAACACAGGACCCCAGGGTGGGGGAGCGGTGGGGGGCTGCCTAGGCAGCTCCTTACCGGTCCAGGCTGCTGATTGGACGGGTCGCAGGCCAGTGAGACGAGATCTTTCAGAGGGTCCTGCGGGTTGAGATGAGGCGGGTACCGTATGGCCGTGTGGGGGAAGTAGGTGGAGGCCGCCTGGGGGAGGATTGAAGTGGTGGGGAAATGCAGAGTAGATGAAGGGTGTGGGCTTCGAGCGATACCTAGAGAGGGAGAGAGACAAAGAGATGACCGGGGCGGCCTTCATTCGGAGCTCTGGGCCAGACAGCGCCCCACCACCCCTCCTGCCCCACGGGCACTCTGCTCTGGTTCCAGCACCGCCTTAACGGCGGCTCGGGTGGCAGCCCCACATGGCCCAGCTGCCTTACATCCATGACTGTATATCGCACCGCGCTTGGGGTGTCGCGGTGGGGGCCGGGAGCCAGGGATTCCTGAGCTCTCACTCTGCCTCTGACCCCGAGGCCCCTCTATGGCCTTGGGCAAGTCACTGAACCTCGCACCGTGCCTCAGTTTCCCCCATCTGCGGATGGGGACCCCAGTCCTTACCTGCCTCTGGGGCCAGGGGGAAGGTGCGCGAAGGAATCAGCTGATGCTGGTGAAGCATTTGGCAGACGAGTGGTGCTAAGCATTGCCATTTGCAAACCAGAGAAAGAGCCCTCCCCACCCCCACCCCCACAGGGCCCAGCCCACAAGCCCAAGGGATGCTGGGCTGAAAACCAAGCTGGGTTCTTTCTGTCCCGACCCCGGCCATGCAGACCCTGCCAGACTGTAGCTGGTGGCTCTCCCTTGAAAACTCTTCAGGGCCGGGCCTTTGCCTGCAGGGTGCCTGGCAGGCTGTGGGCCCAGCAGAAATGATACAAGCCATGCATGCGTTAGTGCAGCCCCTCCCCCAAGTCTCCCTGCCCAGCACCCCTTCCCGGGCTGTGAATGACAAAGGAACCGCCCCCATGCTTTGGGGGGGCCTGGCCCCCCGCAGAGCCAGACTCACCGCTGTGCACGGCGATGACCGGACGGTGATGCTGGGTGAAGCTCAACCTCGGGGAGGAGTCTTGGGGCGACGGGCTGTTGAAGGGCGATTTGTCGATCTCCGTCTTTTTCACAGGGGAGATGCCTAGTGAGCCGTGAGAAAAGCAGAAGCGGAGCCGTTAAGGGTCTGCCCCCTGCCGCTCTGGCCCACAACGGTGCTAAGGGGCGGCGTTTAAAAGGCCCGCAAATTAAATCCACAGCGGAGTCCATCAGAAGCACCATTCAGTGTCAGGCGTCAGGGCAGAATCTGACCCCCAGGGTCAGGAAGGGTTCCCCCTCCCACCAGGCACATGACTCCCCTGGAGCGCTAGGCTCAGAGGCTGGAGGCCAGAGGAGACGGCCAATGAACGGATTCACTCCGGCCCCAGGCACTGACAGTCCACTGAAATCACCACTGTGATTGGGGGGAGTGAGTGGGGGGAACCCTCCAACGACTGAGCCTGGGGGAGCAAACATAAGAGCGGCCACACTGGGTCAGACCAAAGGTCCGTCTAGCCCAGTATCCTGTCTGCCGACAGTGGCCAATGCCAGGTGCCCCAGAGGGAGTGAACGGAACAGGGAAACACCAAGTGATCCATCCCCTGTCGCCCAGACCCAGACACTGAGGAAGGGGCTACCCTTGGCACTCCTAGGCGAGGGTTTGCATGCTGTGCAGCTCGGCGCCTACGGCTACGGAAGGGCTCTGGCGTGCCCGGCGTTAACCGGGAAAGGGGACTGCTGCTGAACTGGGTGTCATTGGCAGAGACGCAGCACGGCTGGGTTATTGCCGTGCAGAGCCAGCAGGGGGCGCAGAACCCAGAGACTCTCCTGGGGCCCTGTCACAACCACTAATTTGCTCTCGTTAATTAGGTAGCGACAGAGGGATGGGCAGGAGCTTATGAAGTGGGTCACGTTCCCTGGCTCGACTGCTTGGCTCGCAGGTGTCTAAGTGACGTGTTTATGTGTGCGCATGTGTGTGCGAGTGCACAAGTGTGCATATACACGTGGGTGTGCAGCAGGGTGAGTATGTCTATGCGGAGGGGTATTCGTGTGTATGTGAGTGGACATATGGGTATGCAGGGGTGTGTGTGAGCTGGTGTGTGTATACACAAGGATAGGCGTGTTTGCACGTGCGTGTGCACGTGCGTGTGTACACGTTGGTATACATGTGCTGGCAGGAGTGTCCATCCCCATGTGTGCAGGCGTCTCTCCCCACCCCATTGGGCAGCCTCACCCCACTGCACATGGCTCCAGTTCCGTGTTTCCAACCCGCTTCTCCCCTCTCAGGGCGAATGGCCCAGCGGGGCCGGACCTGGGAGAGCTGGGGGGAGGGGGGCACAGCAGGCGAACTGCACAAGGCCACCCACCCAAACCTCGTCCTGTCCCCTCCAGGCCCCAGTCACCGAAACCCATCACCTGCCGCGCGAGCTGCGTCTCCTGCACCGTGCGGAGCAGTGCCCTTGGGGTGTGCAGGTTCCTCCCGTCCCATCCCGTCCCTGCCAGCCACGCAGGGCCCAGGCTGCCACGGGGAACCTCCCGCTCGGCAGGGCACAGAGCACGGCACCAGCGCTCTGCCCACAGGAACGACTGAGGCCATCGTCACACACCCAGGAACAGAGCAAATACAAGCCCAGGCCAGGCAGCGGCTGGGAAAATACCCAAGGTAGGGGAATCCAGGCCCAGGACAGGCTGGAGCAGCGCCATACAGGCCCAGGGCAGACAGGGGCAGGGCTTTACAGCCTCGGGGCGGTGGGGGTCCAGGTTTGACCGGAACGCCCAGTCGAAAAGGGACCCTGTCGGCTCTGGTGAGTGGTGCAGCGGGGTTAAGGCAGGACCCTCCCTGTCCTGGCTCCGCATGGCTCCTGGAAGTAGCCGGCATGTCCGGCTCCTAGGCGCAGGGGTGGCCATGGGGACTCTGTGCGCTGCCCCCGCCCCAAGCACCAGCTCCACAGCTCCCATTGGCCAGGAACTGCGACCAATGGGAGCTGTGGA